GAATTAATATTGAGGGAAAAGGAAATACTACTTTACCCAGAGAGTGATCAAAATGTGGAATTTGCTGCCAGAGGATGTAGTGATGGCCACGGAAATAAAGAGCATTAAAAGGGGATTAGTGAGACTCTGTCAATGGCTACTGGCCAAGGTGTCAGAGGGGAACCTCCACATTCAGAGGCACTAATCCTCTGAATCACAGAGCCAGGAGGCAACATCAGGGGAAGGCCTCGGCCTTTATGCCCTGTTGATGGCTAGAGAGACTATCGTCTGATCCAGCAGGGCTCTTAAGAAAGTTTAAGGATTTGTCCTTGACCTGGAATTTGACAATAAATTTTAAGCGAAGCAGATAAAGACGGGACATAGAATAGGAACTCTCCCTGAGGGACACAGAAATTTCTGGAACGTGAAAGAGGTTCCATGCACCTGTGCAGGTTTTCCTGAGGAGACACGTTAATGTGGAAAAGATGTTTGTTCTCCCTGAAGCATGAAATGCACTGAGATATGAAAGTAATGCTTGTAATAATAATTACACGAAGTTAGTGGAAGTAACGCCCAGCGACCCACCAGCACCGTAGCGCAGAGTCCACTCGTGTGGACCCCCTGAGGGTGGTCTGAGCTTGCAGGATGTCAAAACTACACAGCTTTGAAATGGAAGTTGACTCGGCACTGTACAGATGTTTGGGTAGGCCGCATTGAGTGACTTGGTACAAGCAGGGCATGAATTAAATGTGTACAGGAGTCAACTTAATATTTTGTTATCTTGTACCAGAATTTGTCTAAAATTTTGCACGGTACAGTTATAATCATCCTGCCACCGAAAAGAGTATTCTAGAGCTGAATGGGACCTAGTATAAGAGAGGATGGTAGAACGTTTCTAGTTCCATGTCTTCTTCTTTCTTGGCCAGAGCTGGCTTATGATGACCCTTTAGGGTTTCCAAGGCAATAGACTCACAGAGGTGGCTCTGCCATTACCTGCTTCTGCAGAAGGACCCAGGATTTTCTCATCCGAATACTAACTAGGGCCGCCCCATCTTAGCTTCCTTATCCAGGCCTGGGAATTTCAGGCGTTATAGAAATTTGGAGCAGAAGCCGCCTGGAAATCTTTTAATATACCTGAAATCCACTGCAATATGAAAGTAATGTTTGTAATAAAAGAGACCAGAAGTGAATGGGAGATGCTTCCAGGTTACCCACCAGTAATGTAGCGGATTCTATTCATGTGGGCCCCTGAGGGTGACTTGAGCCAACGACAAAACTACCCTGGTTTTGAAAGGAGGTTCAGGGAGAACAAACATCACCTGAGTTTTGGCTACTGTGTGACACGGAGTGTTGGACTTCAAGGGCCGCTGGTCTGATCCAACATGGCTTCTGTTATGTTCTTACATAGCCAGCGCCTTCTGTTTATCTATCTTCACCTTTCCTCCGGGCCCCTCAGGCCGGTGTTGAAAGAGTTCTTTCTCCCAGTTTCTTTCTCACAACACCCCTGTGATGTAGGTTAGGCTGAATGAGAGTGATTGGATCCGGTTTGACAAGTTTGTTTCATGGCTGAGCAGGACTTGTGATAAACTGTTATTTATAAACTCTGGTTCGGTCGAACATGAATGCATGAAGTTCTTTTTTTCTTTTCTTTTTAAAAAACTTTAAATCATTATTTAATACAAGGAAGCACATATAACATCAGAAACATAGCTCAACTGGTACATGTGATTAAAACCAGGGCTATTTTTGGGCAGGAACGCACCGGAACGGAGTTCTGGCTGGCTTCAGAGTTGGCCACGCCCTCTACGCTTAAAACCTCTGCCTGCGTGGCCACAGAGGGAAGGCCTGGAGAGCTACACCCCCCTTGGCGAATCCGAGGCGGTCAGGCCAAGGGGGGCCCTGGAAGGATTCAGGAGGCATTTAAATGCCTCCCTGTGCCTTCCCTGACCTGTCCAAGGGTCGGCTTGACCAGGTTCCCCGTAGCTGCGGGACACCCGGACAAGCCAAGGGAAGGCAGTTTAAACTGCCTCCCCTCCCCTCCAAGGGCCAGCTTGCCCGGGCTCCCTGCACCCACAGGGCACCCGAACAAGCCAAGGGAAGGCATGGGGCTGTGGTCTATTATGCTAATGAGCTGTGCTGTTAGGGGGGTGGCCTATAATGCTAATGAGATTCTGCTGTTGGGTGTGGCCTATTATGCAAATAAGTTCCTGCTGGGATTTTTCTACAAAAAAAGCCCTGGATAAAACTTACATCACAAACAATATAGACTCGTTATTAACAAAGAAAAAGTTTGACAGAGAACTTCATTAACATGAAACAGCCCATGAAATGCATCAATACAGCAGATTTATAGTATCCAAAATCGAGGAATACTCAGGTTTTGTGGATAAACAGTCCAGGAAGGGGAACCAGATCGAGGTAAAATTTCGAATCAAACGATTCTGTAGCCTTAGAAAGAAGAGAATCAGTAAGTTTGTCCGTTAGACAGAAATCACAGACTTTAAGTCACTCCTAGAGTGTCTGAGGTCTTGGACCCCTGGTATTTTTATTAGAATGACCCATTCTTTTCCATTCCACTTTGGACTGGCCTGACAGAGTTTGGGCCAGACCACCTATTTGTCCTGAATGTCCAGGGCCATTTCCAAATGCCTGAGGAGGTGGGACTATCATCTCTCCTTATATATAATTGTATTTTGGTCATGGACTCTTCTGAACATTCTAACACGCTCCCAAATCAGTTGGCTCCCTGATGTGTCACTCAGAAGCTGTCCCTATCCACTGGCTGCGTTGCCTCCAACATTCTAAACAGTTTGCTGTTCCTCTCCCCCCCCATAGCCAGTCAGAATACTGAGGTTGTTTGCATATGCGAACCAGAAGGGTGAAACTGACCATATATATTATAAAAATACAAAATTTATTAAGGTGTATACATATTAAAATATATTCGGGTTAATTTTTTTTCCAAGTATCAGACTAATAAAAGCATATCAATTATTAATACACATGATGGGTTAACACTTTCTCACTGAAGACCTAACACGTTTCGGCCTCAAAGGGCCTTCCTCAGTGGTCGCTATACAACATAGTATAGAAACACATTCAACCATTTCATTTCATGGTTTTTATTTAGAATAATTGGAATGAATATGGCCATACCTAGGGCCCATCCTTAATACCATCAACACAATTGCAAACATATAAGGTAATTCTAGTTTGAAAAAAAATCAATTGTTTAAATTAATAAGGATTTGGTATACATTCGTAATAATAATCTGAGTTTCGTTTCCCCGCTTTTCTCCCCCCTCTTTTTTTATAATTTCAGGATACAACATCTGGTCTTTAAATAAGTATACATATGTTTGAATGTGTGTCTATACTATGTTGTATAGTGACCACTGAGGAAGGCCCTTTGAGGCCGAAACGCGTTTGGTCTTCAGTTGGAAAGTGTTAACCCATCATGTGTATTAATAATTGATATGCTTTTATTAGTCTGATACTTGGAAAAAAAATTAACCCGAATATATTTTAATATGTATACACCTTAATAAATTTTGTATTTTTATAATATATACGGTCAGCTTAACCCTTCTGGTTCGCAGTGTTATCTTGGGTTGAGTTTTTCCCTTCCCCCCCCCTTTTTCCAGTGTTTGCATATGCGGCCTCATTGGCCTTTGCCTCTCTTATTTATTTCCACAACAGGCCTTATTCCTAGTTTTAAATATTTCTGATTCGTGAGAGTAGCCTATGACAACAGAGATGGATCTCTGAGTGGGACTGGGGAAATCGGCTTGTCACTCTTAGAGAGGGGGCTGGCTTAGATGAGATTCCTACCTGGACGTATACAGTCATAGAATTATAGAGCTGGAAAGACCCTCCAGGGTCATCTAGTCCAACCCCCTGCAAAATGCAGGAAAGTCACAGTTACCTCTCCCCACACCCCCAGTGACCCCTGCTCCATACTCAGAAGATGACAAAAAATAAACCCTCCAGGATCCCTGGCCAACTGGCCTGGAGGACAATTGCTTCCTGACCCCAAAGTGGCAGTTGGCATCTCCCTGGCACGTAAGAAAGGACTGTGAGAGCCAAGCACTGATACAGCTCTTTCTACCCTCCCGTACATGATCTGCCTAAGTTCATAGAATCTACGTTACTGTCAGATGGCCGTCTAGTCTCTGCTTAAAAACATCCGAAGCAGGAGCGCCCACCACCTCCCGAGGAAGTCTGTTCTACTGAGGAAGCCTTATCCATTGCCTTCATTGGAAATCCACAGTGGGATCCACAGGAGGCTGGGTTTTCATTAGATATAAGGCCTCTTCCAGCATCTTGGTGCAGCAAGGAACTCTGCACCTGCTCTGAGGAACCTGATATAGC